TTTTTTTTCTTTCGTGTAATTCAATGTTTATATGAAAGTAGCTGTTTCAGGAGGACTTTCTTTTAGTTTGTGTCTGAAAGTTACTTCTTTGCATGATCTACACATCCATGTATAGATTTACTTATTTTCAAATTGATTACTTCCTTCCTTTCTTCGGAAGATTCCCTCATCCTTTTTTTTGTATCAAGATGGAGTAGTAGAAAGCCAAAAACTTTCTTTCCCATAAAAAGCTGTATAATTACATACCTTATAAAATTAGGAAGGAAAAAAGCTATAAAAAGTTCAGAATTCTTGTTAAAGATGCCCTTGCAACAAAAGCGTACTAAAATCTTGATGAATATTACAATGGAACTTTGCTGCGATTTATTGTATGTGTTTTTCGTTGTTTATATTGACACCTATACTTTAAAACATATTTTATACCGTGATATATCTTATTTTATTGCCATGACATGTGAACTTATGTTCAAATTGGGTATATTTGTTATTTACATTTTTTGAAAGAGACTAAACAAACTATTTTGACTATAAACTTTGTTGAATTTTATTTTTTATTGTTATATTTTCTTTATTAGATACGTGAACTTGTATTTGTGTTTTTGAATTGTTTCTTTTCTTTTATTCTTTGAAGTGCTTATACATACCAGATTTTTTAACAAGCTTTGTCAATAAGATTGTATTTTCTTGGACAATAAAGTATGTCTTATCTATCTATCTATACAGTACAAAATTCTCTATCAATTAGTAACTGAAAAAATGTGTGAAGCAATCTAATACTACAATAAATTTTACTCATTGAAGTCTACAAATGATAACCTTTCTTTTAAGACAATCAATACTTTTTTTACATAGCACAGGCATTTGATATGCCATTCAAATTTCCTTTTGCAACCACTTTGCAACAAGTTATTGAAATCAACAGGAAATGGCTATCAATGTTCATCACATATATTTACATTTACTCAATATTCATATATTCATGTACTTTTTGTATCTGTTCAACTGAGCTTTACATTGTTCTTCCATATAAGCTGTTTTTGTCTCTAAGCATTATTTTATAGTTTATAGTTGTTAATAGTCCCATATGCACGTTTTACTTTACTAAACTTTGCCAATAAGATGTTCAAATCTTGAGTAATAAGGCATATTTTCAAATTGAAAGGGTTATATTTTTGGAAGTGACTAATTTTTGTGCTGAACGTTACTTCTTTGCATTATCCACACATCTATCTATAGAGTTACTTCTTTCAAAATTGATTGCTTCCTTCCTTTCTTTGGAATATACCCTTATTTTTTGTATCAAGATTGAGTAGTAGAAAGCCAAAAACTTTCTTTCCCAAAAAAAAAAAAACATTTTGATTTGATTTGATTGATCATTACTCATTTTTCTGTTACAGAACTAGCGAATTTGTCAATAACAATCCGGAGATATCACAATCTCCAACAACACCAGGTTCAAGTACTTCTCCAGTGTCTTCAGCTGTTAGTCCCCAAAAGGAGCAAGTAACATCAAGAATAATCCCCAATATTCCTCCCACTCCACCGCCGGTAGAAAACGAAACATTTCCCATAATCTCAACTACTTCAACTGCTGTAGTGCCTGCCCCTAATAATAATAGTTGTAATATACCTAATAATAATGTGCCTGATAGTTCAAGTAGCATCACAGTAATTCCTACAAGTATTGTAAATAAGGTGTCCGATAGTGTGCATTTTACACAAGGTGCCGTGAGTTCTCATACTCCCGAAAGAGCTGTCGCTAGAGAAAGGAGACAGAGAAGTAACGAAGGAAGGAGGGATGGAAGTGGTAGGAGAAAGCCGGGAAGAAATAGAAACTCTTTAAATCACGTGCAAACCGGACCGCCAGGATTCAGCGAAGGAACATCACAGAATGGTCTTGTAGCTGGAGTTAGAATGGATCTTCCTTCTGGTTATGGTAAGTGAACTACTCATCAAAATTGAACCTAGATAATAATAAGTTTATTTCATCACATTAACTATAAAATGTACAATAGTGATAAGTCAAACTGACAAACAAGAATAACAATAGTTGTGGGTATACACGCTGATTACATTATTTTTGGAAATGAAAAAAACACATTTAACATATATTAAAATATTAATGTCTCACAATTCAAATATTCGTCTATGGAGTAGAAACAGTGCCTTAATAGTAAGTGCTTAACTCTAGCCTTGAAATGGTTACAACTCAAACTGGTAATGTCTGTTGGTATTTTATTGTATAAATGTAAGTAGAGTGAATTAGAGATTGTAAAAAATCTAAATCTAAAAAATCTAAAATCGGTTGGCTATGACGAAATCCCGGTAAAACTCTTGAAATATGTTGCACGTGAACTATCAACACCCCTAGCAATTATTATAAACATGATGCTTAATAAAGGAATATTTCCTGACAAATTAAAAATAGCTCATATAAAAGCAATCTTCAAAAAGGGTGACAAGGATCAAATAAAAAATTACAGACCTATAGCATTACTATCAAATATTAGTAAGATTTTTGAAAGAATCATATATAATCGCCTTATATCCTACCTTGAAACATTCGAACTATTAAGTGATACACAAAACGGTTTTCGAAAGGGTAAATCGACAACAAGAGCAATATATCAAGCTTTATGTTCAGTCATAAATAGTCAAAACAACAAGAAACATAGCTTAATGATTAACTTAGATCTTTCAAAAGCTTTTGACAATGTCAATCATAAAACATTGCTAAATAAACTTGAGGCTTANGCCATTTCAGTGTTTCTACCTTTTCGGAATCCATACTGGCAGTCTGTGAATATGTCATAATTCTCAAAATGATGTACAATTTGTAGAGCTATACATTTTTCAAATATTTTTGATATTATTGGTAGCAGAGATATTGGTCTGTAGTTTGTAGGATCATTTGGATTTCCACTTTTGAATGTAGGTATACTAATGCTTCTTTCAAGTCGGGGGGGGAAAATGCGCTCTTTCGTACACTGGTTCAGCAGTTTAGTTAGAGGGATTAGAATTAAATTTGATATGCATTTGATCACTTCAACATTCAGTCCGTATATATCTCTGCTGGGTTTATTTTTTAACGACTTTATTACATCTCTAACTTTATTGTAGGTAAATTCTGTTAGAGTAAAATTTTCAAAATTCCAATTGTTTAGTTTTTTGAGAGGGTCCAAGTTTGAAATATCTATTTTTTGGATTAGGTTTTTTGCATTATTTACAAAGTAGGCATTGAAGGTATTTGATGAGACTGGTGGGTGGGTCTTTACTTTGTTGTTCTCTGTTTTTGTTTTCCTTTTGTTTTTCAATGAAGACCACAGCAAAACCCGGAAACCAACCATTTGAAGAAATAGATAATCCAAGTCTTGAGAAAACTCTAAAAGAGAAAAATGCAGAAGAATGAGGCTAGATTTGTTAGTAACACACGTGTAGAGACAGTATTTTTGGGAAAAGTTTTTTCAACACATGAGTACTTAGAAAAATATATAAATATATTTCAAAGAAACATAATTGACAAGAAAATATTCTGAAATATTTTAGACAATTCGATTATCTCATCAGTTACAAACTAAATATTTTTTGATCTTCACATTGGTATTCAAATCAAATTTTTCCAGAGTTGCGGACAACACAACAAGGACAAGTCTATTTTTTCCATACTCCAACAGGTGTCTCCACTTGGCACGATCCCAGAATACCTAAAGACCTAACCCCATTGAGCCTTGATCTAGATCATCTTGGTCCTCTTCCACCTGGTTGGGAAATGAGACAGACAAGCTCTGGAAGGGTAAGTAGATATTAATAATGAAGTTTGTACTGCTAAACTGCACAGGAGAAACTTTCGGATTGTTACGTCATTTGCTTAGATCGTCGGCCTTTCTTTGGTTGTTGTTAGTGAAAATGCTAGCATCAAAACTTTCTATATTTGATGTGATTAATGTGATGTAACCAAAAAAATGTCATCAAGTTGGGACCATTCAGCCAAAGCACTACGACTGTTCTCTCACACCGACAGGGCTAAAAATACACTGGCCCGCTGGAGGGAGTAGAAAAGGATGATTCAAGACTCTCCTAAGGTCACTTCCTCACAATATCGTGCAAAGTATACTTAACATGTTTCAAGCGAGCATTCGGATTTTTGACGTTTCGGATTTTTGACACTTGATTTATTGATGCTCTACTATAATGTTTCCAAAATAACACGTTTCTTAACGTTTTTTCAAGCAAAACATAATTAGGTTGTTATTATACTTCTGTACAGCGTGACTCATGGTCGATGATAAGTTAGACGTTTCTGGAAAACGCAAAGCATGATTTTTCTGAAAATTTCACCTCTCACATTTCCTTAGCTGTTCTATCGATCTGAAATATTTTCAGCATTGCGGCCACTTCTATCAAAAAGTCCTAGTAACTTTATTTTTCTAAACGGAACACCCCGTATATTAATGCATTTTTGGAATTGCTCTGGTATTTTAATACTTTATTGTTAATAATGCCCTATACCTATCTCTATCTGTTTTCGAGATAAAAAATAAATTGTGCTAAATATGGTCCAAAACATAGCCTTAATTGAAATAAAAGTAGTCAAAAGTTCATTTTATCAAATGAAACCCCCTGTAAATTGAAAGATGTTAAAAAATGCTTCAAGATGATATATCATGTCCCTATACCTAAATCGTCAAGTTTTCTCAATGAAGTCGCTTCTTCTAGAAACATTATTTTTTTTTAGAATTTGGATTTAGGTAGCTGTGGAATTATCAAGCTTATAGCAGTTCGGTTACTTTTATAAGTAATTTACAAAGAGTTATCGACGGTGTTTCGAATCATCTTCCAAAATGAATGCAAATATCGATTATTCAAACGAAGTTCTTATGAAATTATTTATTATACACATGAACAAAGTGATCAAATCATTGTCAGAACGTGTAAAAAATTCAACCAAATGT